TGCTTACAGCTGCTGAATAAGTTTGGTCTGGATAACGTTTACGAAGGTCAGGTTGAGGTAACTGGCGACGAATTTAATGTGGAAAGCATTGATGGCCAGCCAGGGGCATTTACATGCTACCTGGATGCTGGACTCGCCAGAACCACCACAGGGAATAAAGTGTTTGGAGCTCTCAAAGGAGCAGTGGATGGAGGACTGTCCATCCCTCACAGGTCAGTACATGTAGTTTATTTTCCCAGTTTGCGAAGCTTAGACTGTGTGCTTAGACAATTGATTCAGGAATTTTGGGTGCTTTAAAAAATCTTTTTAAAAACATTAAATATTGTCCACAAAAATATTATCTGTACTGATGGCCTGAAGTCACTAATGACCTCTAAAATACCACCAAAAAAGGATACTTAAAGGGGTCATATGATGCTGCTAAAAAGAACATTATTTTGTGTATTTGGTGTAATGAAAAATCGCATCGGGGGCGGACGTCCCCCTGCCCTGACACAGTCTAAAGCAGTGGTTCCCAACCCTGGTCCTGGAGGCACCCCAACACTGCACATTTTGTATGTCTCCTTAATCAATCACACCTGATTCAGGTCATCAGCTCATTAGTAGAGACTCCAAGATCTGAAATTGGTGTGTCAGAGAAAGGAGACATGCAAAATGTGCAGTGTTGGGGTGCCTTCAGGACCAGGGTTGGGAACCACTGGCCTAAGGTTTAGTTTCATTAGGAAGAGGAAGAAATCTCAATCAGAATAGGCATTTTGACATCAATTAAATGTAGATCATATTCACTGTCTGCACTACCATTGGTAGTAGGATAGGATAGTAAATAACAATTACTGCAGTGAAATTGATCTTTAATTTACATTTTTACATTTTTAATTAGAAAAAAATATTTAGATAATGATTCAATTTGAAAAAATAGATTTATTCTTTATATAGCAATTTCTTTATTCACAAATACAGAAATGTCCCTTCAGAAGTGTTTCTGTGCCACATTTGCCATTTAAATTTGGCAAAATTGTTACAAACATGACTAAAAAGGAAGTAAACACTAACCAACCATGCACTCAGTTAAGTCTTTTTGCATTGAAAGCTGTTTCGTTTAAATTATATACCATTGACATTCAGCAAATATGCATTTATATTAAAATATTGTACTATGTTAATAATAATTAATAATAATAATAATAACAAATAGAATAAACATTTTTTTTATGCAAGTTAATCTAGCAGTATATTAAAGCTACTACAGTTATTCAGTCCAGAGCAGTGAGTGATTTTCCAACACAGACGGCAGCAGGTATATTGCAGGCTGCTGTCATGAAGACCGAATGCTTGAATCTAATTAACTGTCATACATTGGATTTCTTTCCCAACTGTTTATGTTCAACCGACTGTGTCTATTTGAATATTCAAGGCCCAAATTTTACTTCACTTGTCCTGCCTGGGGAACAGCGCAAGTTCTCTTTTGTGGCTTAGTCTACTTTTTATAACTCTTTTTAATATCAAACATGTCCTGCAGGAGACTACATATTATGACTGGGACGTTTGATTTGGACTTTAAGTTTGGGCTTTTAATGATGGGTGAAAAGCACCTCTTTAAATTAATCAATAATCGTTTTATTTTGATTGTCGTGTTTTAATTGTTGGAAGCTAAAAATCGAAATTGTTTTTTTTTTTTTCTAAATGAGGCATGTTGTGCAGGCAGCTTACTTATTTTAGCTTTTTGAGCTTTTGCAGAGATTGCTTTATTTTTTGCTTTTATGTCTCATCTTTGTCATTGTTATGGGAATGTTGACATTACAGCTTTCTTTCTCAGCACTAAACGGTTCCCAGGCTACGACTCTGAAAGTAAGGAGTTTAACGCGGAGGTGCACAGGAAGCACATCATGGGCCAGAATGTGTCAGAGTACATGAGCTATCTAATGGAGGAGGACGAGGAGCAGTACAAGAAGCAGTTCTCCCGCTTCATCAAGAACGGCATCACACCGGACTCTGTAAGAAACACTGGATCACTTTACTGGCAACATTTGTTTGCTTTTGGTGATGTGATACAAGAAAGTGTCATTATGTCCATCAAATACTGTATCATTTATAGCTGCACATTATTTGTGGCATGATGCTGGTGGCTAAATGTCATTAATTTGTATTGCAGATTAACAGATGCATACAGTTTAATATTTGAAAATATTTTCTTCATTTATTGTAAATCTTGTGCTTTACCTTCACTTATTGTTATATGGTTATCTGGTTCCTGCAGGTTGAAGAGATGTACAAAAAGGCCCATGCTTCCATCCGTGAGAACCCAGTTCATGAGAAGAAGCCCAAGAGAGAAGTCAAGAAGAAGAGGTGCATTTTCAGGCTTCTATCATTTCTTCAGATTTTAATCTAAGGGTTGCTCTGCCTACTGACTGTCATGGAATTGATATTGCCATGAAACTTGACAGTGTTGGCAAGTTGTAGTTTTGATGGCAAAACTGTATAAATGTTCTTTTATTACAGTTGGACATGTAGCTCTTAAAACAAATAGTGGTGTTGACTAAAGATAAAGGTTTGAGTCTTGAGTCTTCCCATAAGGTCTCAATGGTGATTCTTAAGATGATGCAAATATGCTGTAGCTACTACTTATAACACTTGCATATCAGATATTTACTTATATTTACTTATATTTTATATTTACTTTTTTTTTTTTTACACTATTCTGACCACATGTGATGTTTATTTTCTCATCACTGATGAATATATGTGTATTTAGGTGGAACCGTGCCAAGCTGACTCTGGCCCAGAGGAAGGACCGAGTAGCCCAGAAAAAAGCCAGCTTCCTCCGGGCACAGGACGCTGCTGCAGACGACTAAAGAGATGAAGTGTCAACTGCTTCAAAGAAAGCTTCCAAATAAATCATTTGGAAAGAATAGTGTGTTTGTGGTCTTTGGTAGAGTAGAAGATGAGAAAATGTTGATTTGACAATGAATATGCATTTGGGATATTATTTGAAACACTTTAAATGTGCAAAGTCATGCAATCAAATCTTATAAAAATCTCTATTTAACTCTTAATCAGCAGCAGAGTGATTTATGAATACACAAAACTGAAGCAGTCTGACGACATGAATCATCCCACTGAAAAATGATTGATAAAAAAGATCAAGCACCTTTTAATCTCTTCATTCATAAGTACATCAAGAATCTTGACTGATGAACATTTCATACTGTTTTTAGTAAAAAAAAAAATAAAAAAACATATCAAAATGGTTTTCACCAGACATGCCAGTTAGAAGTACAAATTAGTAACCCAACAAACCAAAATGATAAATGTTTTGAACTTCCATGGTTGAGAAGGGCCTACCAGCATAATTTACAAGACTCACTTTTGTAAACATTCAGATCAATAAGGGCAAGCTCACACAACAGAACTGTAAGACTACCTGAATTGCTGTGGTGTTAACACTACACAACAAGTTTTCTTGTTATCTTGACATAGCAGACCGCATACTACACAACACAATGTTGATGAGGTGCACAAAGTACAAGACATTTGGTCAAGAAGCAGTCCTGACCAACAGTGGGGGGAAAAAAAACATTTTCTCACATATATTCATGCAAGTGATTACAAGATTTTTCCGTTTATACCATCTGGACTGTGGTTGGCAGGATTAGTTCCACCTTGCCAGTTGCCATTGCATCGTACAGACACACACACTACAAAATCATGTAGCAATAATATCAAATAGATTTGAAAATATCTGTCTGTGACTGTTCGAGACAGGCTCAGATCATATTGCTGACCTGCTCATACTTAATGAGCTTCGGTGACCACAATGAGCACTGATTATTAGGTTTGAATTTTTCTCCAGATACTTAAAGATGGATTGAATCATACTTGTCAGGTCACACACAGTATGTTAGTATACAGAATTATAAGTCTGCCCCCCTAAGTATATCCACTGGTGTTCCACAAGGATCTATTCTGGGTCCTTTGCTTTTCACGTTGTACATCAATGATCTTCCATCCGTCTACTAAAAAAATATAATTTGCTAAGCTGGGATAACCTGATCAAATATGTACATATTTGTATACTGTTTAAGACTATTCATAGCATGACTTTACCATTAAAACAGTTTGTGAATATTAGAACAACTGCTCACCGGTCTACAAGGTGTAGGGAAAGATGGGACTATTATTCCTCTCAAAAGATGTAAATTTAGTCAATCTGTATTCTCAGTCAAAGCTGCAAGGGAATGGAACTCCATCCCATCAACAATTAGAAGACTAGATGGTAAGGCTGCACTCTCATTCATTGATCTGCTAACTGCTATGTTATGCTCACTGTTCTGATGATAATAGCTTTCTAGGACTAAACATTATTTGGATAATTGGTAAAAATTAAAAGTTTGTTAAAATTTCCAAAGGGTGCTAAAAAAAGGTTGGGAAACACTGGTCTAGATAACTACTAATATTTGTATTTTAGTAGTGACTTTTATTGTGCATTCATGTATCTGTAATTTTTCAGTATTTTACTTTTTACTCCCTTTTCTTTGTAGATGTGTATATGTAAGATGCTCTGTTTCTGTTTTTAGGGTGACTTTTTAACATTCTGTCAAGGGTCTACAGATGAAAAATAGCCTTTTTGGCTAATTCTGGCACATTTACAGTTACAGTGCACAGCATAAATGAGTACACCCCCTCTGAATAAATATAAAAGATGTATTTTCTTAATGATCACTAATATAATTCATGGAAAGATGGAAAAATTTAAACATTTTAAACATATACTTAATAAAAACAAAATATATGCCAATATTTTCAATCATTTTCTATTCTTAACTGTTTTAAATGTATTTTAAACCTCTTAAATCAATTTTTTTTATAATTTTCAAAGTTTTAAATTCCTTGTTTTATTGTTGTGATTATTTGTTTTATTATTTTTTCATTTCTTTTATGTAAAGCACTTTGAATTACCATTGTGTATGAAATGTGCTATATAAATAAACTTATAGCACAATAATCGAACTAAAAAATGCACACTCACTGGCAACATGCATATCAAGGTATTTGATTATTATGTCCATTTCAAAATGGCTCTTTTATGGCTCTTTTTGCTGTGCTCTTGTGACAAACATTACAATAGGAGACTTACACAACCACAGTCAGTGGCTAGTGCATTCCTTAGCTTTCTATGTTAACATCCAACAATGGATGCAAAATTAAGGGTCATTTGCTCCTTCATAACATCTGAAGGAAGTGTAAAATAAACATGACAACTGATCAATTGTGTGTGAAAACAAAACAAAAAAAAACACGAAACTAAGAAGTGAACGTTACTCCTTAAGACCTCCTCATGGTTTTAATTCTACCTTTGTCGTGAAAAAACTTAAAACGTATCAAAGCAGCAGTGAATATTGCCATCATCATATTTTCCAGCCGCGTTGCTACCAGCATTTTAATCTCCAGCCAGATTTACAATGGCCTGAAGTGCTTCAGAAGACATTCAAGAATCTGAATGTTGTCACCAGTGCGTCTTCATTTCTCTTCAGGAGTCATTGGTGTGTGAGATCTGTTTCCATAGCAGTGTCTTGAGGTTATTGAGAATGAGCGAGTGCTCCATTTCCATCTGCTCGGCTGAACCTTTGAGAGCCATGCAGGCGTACAGCTGCTTCTCCAGCTCTTCCTGTAGATGGACCGGAGCTCCTCGTAGGAGGTAATCCTTCAGTGCTCCGCAAGCCCTGGCCAGGTTGGGCTGAGCCACCTCGGCCGTGCAGCGGTGTTCTGCGCGGTTGCACAAAGTCCTACAGTCCACACCGTAGACGCAGTCCTCGTCGTCCTCGCAATGCTGAAGGATCATGGCCTGTTTGAAGGCCTCCTCAGCTACTACGCGCCGCCCGTCCACCAGCCTGAGGTCATGGCGATCGGTGTAACCAAAAGTACTGGCTCTCATGTCGCACATTAAGAAGCTCCCAAAGGTACCATGGAAGATGTCTTCTATAAGCTCCAGCAAGCCGAGATCTGCAGAGTTATAAAGCACATACTCCAATCCAAAGGGATTTATTCTCTATATCAGTAAGCACTGTTTCTAAACTCCCTCAAATGCCTTGATAATAGTCCTGAGTTTTCTTCCGGGAGCGTTCATGTCACAATACCCCTCATTTAAATAATTCACACCCAAGGCATAAGCAAAAAAATATAAGGAGGCGAGGCCTGGTTGAGTTGTGTTAGAGATGATAAATATAACATGAGCTTGAGCACAATAGAGATGATAAAAACAAAAAGATGTGAATGCTGTTTTTCAAACTCTGGTGTACACCTGTCCATTTTTAAAAGCTGGACTAGCCGTACAGTTCGCTGCAGATACGCAATAATCCTAAATAGTAGGAGTGAACAGCTATTGATTAAATGAGTTGGTCAAATTGTGTGAGGCCCAGTCCCCAAATGGCACACTTCAAGTGAACTTGTGGTCCTGTGGACTTACAATGGCCACCACGTGTGGATGTTCGCTAATTCGCCATTTTAAGTTTCAGAAGGGTGCATATGAGCATTGAGTTATGTGTCCTTGACGTGTACTTAATCAAAACTTACAGACTTAGTCAAAGTTGCATTACTTCACAAAAGTGTGGACACAGAGGAAGACCGTGAGGGCTTAGGGTGGCACTTGAAACAGAGTGTGCTCACTTAATTTCCTGATAAGCGTGACTGATGTACAGCAAGTAGAGAGATAAATGTATACCTAATTTCTGCTCGCCTCCAGCACAAATTGACAAGTGTTTTCAGAACATTTGTTTCAGATGGACACAAGCACCGTTCATATTTGACACTTCAGAAACAAAACCAAAGATTCAAAAACAAAGTACAATAGTGAGGCAAGCAACACTTTCCATTTTGCTGCTTTTTTTTTTCTGCATACCTTAGTAAAAGCATTCCCACAAGTCCTGACCAATGAATTTACATGACTTTTCCATGAGTTATTTGAAATGACTGGATAAGCATGGTTAAAAATAATTTAATATAGATACTTTAGAACTGAGTATAGTTATAAACTAGAAAAAATATGTACTAACTATAGCAATGACCTTGTAAGGTTTTATTAATCTGACAGAAAAATCACACTTTTAAAACATCCTCATCCTTCCAGGTTTTCCAAGAATGTGAGAACCTTGATTGCAAGCAGGAATGGCATGAGAAGTGGCTAAACAAACACTTGTTTACAAACCTTCAAATGACTGGCAACCATCTCTTTGAACTTCTCTACAGAGGTTCCTCGAGTGGGTTTGTCAAAGAGTGCAACCTCTTTTTTTGTCTCCAACTCCTCTCCCAGCTCATAGTGCAGGATGTCACTCAGTTGACACTTGATGACATTGTCATGATCACCCCAGCTGCCTGTATAGACCTGAGAGCAACAGAGGAACACACTGTCATCATGACAGTACTGAGATGTATGTGGTTTTAGGGATGTCCAATCCCTCATAGAGAGGCCTCCTTCTTTCAGAGTTCAGCTTCAACACACCTGCATGAATGTTTCCAGTAATTCTAAAGAACTTTATTTAGCTAGTTCAGGTGAGTTTAATTAGTGCTAGACTCTTCTTGAAGGTGCCTTCCAGGAGCAGGATTGGATTCTGTTTTAGGGCCTATGGTTGAGTGTGTTAGTGTCAAACCTGATTGTTTGGTTTGGTGGAGAGGCACCTTCCAAAATACAGTGAGCTTTCTTCACACAGGCTGCTACAGGCAGAGCCATCAATAACACCTTTGCTGTATTTTTCACACTGTTGGAAAGGGAAGGTCCATTTCAATGAGAATGTAAGTGACATTCCATCAATCAAGTAAGTGTTACACTAAGATGTTGTGTAATGGCTTAAATAAAGGAGAAACATTTTCACCACACTACCATTAGATTGGGCTGTGGGGTTAGGTAATATATGGATATATTTTCCATCTCATTTAAAGGTGCACTAAGCAAATTTTGCCAAACGATATTTGAAAGCACCAAACAAGCACGCCCGTACCCCAACAGGACCTCGCCCCTATTTTGATAACTCCGCCCCACACGTACGTACACAACCCTGGCAGCAACAATGGCGGAATCTGGTATGCCTGCCGGCCGAAGGTATGATGTCATCAATAAGTGAAAGCGATGTGTGTGGTAATTCAACGTAAAAATCAACGTAACTCACCTCGGCGTCCGATTCCAGGCCTTCCCTCTCCTTGAGTCCTCTCCTCCACTGGAAAGCTGCTCCAATATTTATGCGGGTCCTACCTCTTGCCTGATCGTTACCCTTCAGTTTTGTTCCTCCGAAATTTTCCTCTTTTTTTTTTATCTGCCATCTCTCGCTATCTATATTCGATCTGCTAATATCCATCCTGTGCACACACTGACAGGGTTGCCAGGTTTCAGAAAAATTTCCAGCCCAAAGTTTACTCAAAACCCGCCCAAAAGGAATGAAAACTAGCCCAATTTTTGCCCTGTCCAATCACAGCTGACAGCTGCTTTATTTCATTAATTCCCTTTAAATGAACCCTTTTGGTTTATTTATTCTATGATTTAAATCTTAGCAAGACAAGTTTATATGCAGTATGTGCATATTAAATAATTTAATCTGTATTTAATTTTTCATTTTTTTTATTTGACACTTTCTTTCATTTTAATTTTCAGCACTTTTCATGATAAAATTTAAAATTAGGGCTGGGTAATATGGCCAGAAATGTTATGACAATATTTTTTTCCATATCACAGCAATATTTATCACAATATTCTTTTACCATTATTATGGAAGGAAATGCTTTGAGAATGTAAATATAACTTGGTTTTTTTTCATAAATTCTTTCAAGTCAACGTTTAATTTAGGGCCCCATGAAATTCACTTTATTTTTCCTTAAAGGGGTCATATGATGCTGCTAAAAAGAACATTATTTGGTGTATTTGGTGTAATGAAATGTGTTTATGCGGTTTAAGGTTAAAAAAACCTCTTATAAAACCTCTAATAAAAAAAATATTATTTTCCACATACTGTACATTATTATTTCTCCTCTATGCCCCGCCTTTCTGAAACGCGTCGATTTTTACAAAGCTCATCGGTCTGAAAAGCGAGGTGTGCTCTTGATTGGCCAGCTATCCAATGCGTTGTGATTGGCCGAATACCTCAAGC